CTTTGTAATAAGCCAACTCAGTCCCCTACCCCCCCACAGTCTGTTGGCGTGTCGTCGTCCCCCCCCCCTCCCCCTTTCATAATATCTGTTGCATATAGCGGTCTCCTGATTCACATATTTGGTGTTCATTGTGTTTTTGTTTTTTTAAAAGTACAATTATTAAACCACTTTCTGTTCGGCTGCAGTGCTGACATCATACCGGGTGACCAGTGCGGTACAAAACGCAGATCAACCACCTAGTTTTACCGCCCCCTTGCTGTCCGTGTGAACAAGGCCATATAGACATGTATTTATGTATGTACAGTTAAACACTGAGTAGTCAGAATGCTTCAGATAAAACATTTATTTGATACAGTTAAAAATACATAGTAAACATTCATATAAAATGTATAAAGTTACAGAGGAAGTGAATTGTTGATCCAAAGAAGTGTGTGCAAAAAAAAAACGGAACAGGATCCCTCATTTGCCCTTGTTTACTGACATCACACCTGTGGCACTACGCCCACCTACCAGAATGAGGCGGGTTGCCTTAAATAACAGAAAGCTAATACAATTTCCAGTGAGAAAGAAACAAGGGCTACAGTTCTGACAGCTTGTAAAAGGCAGTAAAATTAAGAGACTCCAGCAAAGAGCTGACGTCTGCATACATCATACATTTATAGCGTGAATTGTAGGCCAATATTGACTAATGGGTGTTGCTGTGTTTATACAGCACTATATGCAAACAGAAGGTTCATATTGAGCTGTGTGTAATGGCTCTTTTCAGTTACCTAAGGGATCGCGCATATAAGTGAAAGAATATTAAATATCTGTGAGTTAAAAAGAATAAAGCCTGTTTGTGTGTGGGGATTTAAGAAAAGGAGAGCTGCTAAATGAGGATGCTAGAAGTTCTTCTTGGTCAAGTTCGCCATGTGTTACATAGGATGGGGGAGTGTTCAAAAGTAGGGGGGGGGGGGGTTTGCTTGTGTTGCCTTGGTTGTGCTATGCGGTGCTTTCCTGGTCACCATTGGAGCACTGGAAGACTCGCTCTTCTGGCCTCTCACAACTCAGTGTGCAGAAGAGTTTTAGCTTTCTTCATGTTTGTAACCACTGTTGGTGAAATATAAGGAAAGGCAAATGTTAGTTTCATCACCACGATAGTATAACAATTGGGATCTTATCCTAACCATAAGCAATAAGTAACGTGCATGTACAGCAGTTGTAGCAATGCAAAAGGTCATCTGTTTTTCACAGGGTAAAGGTGCCCATACACCTTACAATTATCTGCTGTCAGATGGAAAAAGTGCAACAGATTGGCCGAGGTGGAGTTTACTCCATCCACACAGTTAAGTGTAGATGGAGGAATCTGTTGCACCTTTTCCATCTGACCACAGAAAATCTGCCGATAAATGTAAGGTGTATGGCCAGCTTAAGATCAATTCAAAGATACTTGTCAGGAGAGAAATATTTAGGCTGACATGGTATCTGGAAATGCTAGATTCCTAGCTTTCACTGTCTTCAATATTGTGTGAATTACAGACTGTGAACAGCATTTAGTAAGGACAGAACTTCAGCTTGCACACATATTCTAGGCCAGAAAATAATTGAAGACCGAAAACCAACATGACTACCAGTAAATTGGTATTTTCAAACGGTAGGTCAGCAATAGCATCCCCTAATTTCTCCTACTGTTGGGGGAAACCGCATACCTTTGGGGTATGAGCCCTGCCAATATAATATATTTAAAAATAGAAATTGCTCCACCCCCTGTGGGCTGGGCCTGTTTTTATTGCCCACAGTAACCAGTCAGATTTTTCATTTCTTCCTCCCAGTATAAGAAAACGAAAGGAAGAATCTTCGTGGATAGATGCCCGGAGGCAAAGTGAAGAACCACCCACGGCAACCAGTTAGGTGCTTAGTTACATTTTCTGAATGCATTAAAATATGACAGGTGGCTTCTGATTTGTCACTATAGAAAACATCTCCACCGTTCCTCTCCACCCAGTGTTAAGTAAGCAATCTTTCAGTAAACAAAACTTGCAGAACCAGACGTAAATGGAAAATAGATATTTCCTTTTTCCATAAAACAATGTTTCAGCTATACTTACATTCTGGGATGTCTCCAGCTTCATAGGCATACAGTCTGTTTGAGTATCTTCCTGCAAGGTCTGTTCTCACAGTCATTGATGGATCTGCATAGCAGAAAACATATACGTTAGAAGTGACATAAAACAAAAGTAAATAACGAAGACCGCAGTTTAGAGCAATTACACATTTACTAACTGTGCAGCTATAACGGCAAGGACTCCTGTATATACTTTTCATTCTACTTTTTCTGTAATTATTGAATCACTAATGTCAAATACAATGCAACAGACAGTTGTAAAACAAGTACAAACTGTACAAATTTGCTTTTTGATGAAAACAACTAATTTCACTATAGGTGGATATTCACCTTACAGTATGAACACAGCTTAATATGATGGATCTGGGTGCTAAGGCATGATCGTTACCTATTCCATACATATTGTCAGCATTGGGCCGCAAACCAGATCTCAGCAGAAATCCTTTGTGAATTGATTTTGTATAGTCTACAGGTTAGCTGATAGACTATTGTGCTCCTTGGTAATTCTGGTAGCATCTTTTTTGCCAGTTAGATAAGCACAAACACAGAATATCAGCATGTATGACTATGCACAAACTGGATATGCTGTAAAATGTTCATCTTCCCTGAAAATACTATAAACTACTGCTTGTATAAAGTGCAGATACCTGCAGTAGTCTTCAAATCCCTGCGGTTACAGTCAGATGCTAGACCACTACAATAGTCCAAACTCCAGAACCCCCTGAAGGAAGCAAACCCCTTGCCCACCCCTTCCTGCCTCCTGCACATTCATTCTGGCAAGTGACACTCCCCATTATAGTGATGTGCCTATAGGGATGTGGAGGAGAGAAGGCAGTGGTAAGCTTAGTCACTACCCTGATGTGCCAAAGCATTGCCTGTCAGAAGGGCTTATTCCACCATGACAGCAAGCTTTTGGTGACTACTACAGATATGTGCAGTGTCCTTTTAGTATCAACCAGAAAGGAAGGAACTTGTTTTTAATGAGTCAGCCAACTGATAAGACTTGCATTGTAAGAAGGAGCAGTAAAGCCCAACCATGTGTAGCATTGCAAGGCAGGACATGCATAAGTAACAAGCAAATCTGGCCCAATGTTAATATATAATGATATAATGAAAATATATAGAAATAAGGTTCTTCAAACATTAATGGATATTTGTTTTATTATGAGATTATTTACATTCAGCTAATCTCTTTTGACATGTATATTTACAAAAAAAAATGATGCTAATATACATCTCAAAACAAGTAGGATTTGTAAATTAATTGTAATTCATAGACTCTCAAATTCAATTCAAGCCTGGCAATAGTTGAGCAAGGATGTCTAGATGACACATTCCTTCTCATTTGGTTCCTAGAAATCGTGGCTTTTTCCATAGACATAGCTATTAGAAATATTGGGGGGAAAAAGGCACTTTGTCTAAAATATGAACCCTCTCGAGTATTTAAAGTCAAATCTTCCCTGGAAAAAAAACACTGGAGTAAAAGTGTAAATCACATTGAATCGCTAGGCAACGAAACACTTTTTGTTTCACATACTTCAATAATTAAAGTATACAATGTTTAGAAAAATCTCTGGGACACAAACGGCTCAAATCAAGAGGAAATTGTATCAGTTGACAATCGGAACAGAACTCACCCACAAATATGACTCTGGGTACATAGTGCCCATCTGGAGACTGGTTCTCATCAGCGACAGGGTGCTGTAGGTGAAAAGCAAATCCAGTTATAGAGATGGGTTAATATTAATGTAATTCTGGTGCGTTTCTAGCAGTTATCCTTTCTTTTTACTATGTAATAGAGAAAGCATTGGAAGTATGTTATACTGTGCCTCATTATATACTCCATGTATTTCTTTTTATATATTTTGTTTCATTAATATAAACTTAAGAAAATACCAGGGAACTCACCACTACATTTAACATAACAAAGTTTTCCTGAGCCAGTTTCTGAGCCAGGGGATCAGCAACAAACGCTTTTTTCAGGTCTAGATAGGGAGATAAAGGGATTAGTAATATTGACCATTGATAAAATATATCATATAAAGCAATTAATCCTGTTAGTAGGAATTTTCAATCTATCCACAAGAGTACAAGTTCTTGTTCCAGCCATGGTTTACCTTTACATTTACTAAAGAAGTACTGCCTTCAAAACCATTGGAAAGAAAACCTGGAACTGTTTTCCAGCTGATGAGATGTTTGCTTAGCATTGTGAAACAATCCAGGAAAGTGACTGCTTTACATGGATAATGTGTCAACGCAGAAATGTGACAGCAGATAATACTGCTCCAGGGCACCACATAGTGAATTGCTGACCTTGAACAAACATTAAGCTAAGGAAGAGTCAGGATGCCTTATTCTAGGCTGATAACTTTCCTAGTACTAAAGAAAGTAAAAAGATCATGCACTTTCAAAAATGAGGAATCTCCTATCTTTCTACCCTGACAATCTCTACCTTGGCAATTTGCTGTCTCTGGTCGGTTGATGGGAGGGGCTAGGAATAACTCAAAGATAGGGAAAAACACCGCCCTCTTTAATTTCCATAAAGAGTCCACCCCCTTGCTGACATCATCTCTCAAGGTGAAGGTGACCAGAATGAATCGCTAAGCACAGGAGACAACCAATTTATGCCACTTGCTGCTGGAATCTTAAAAAAAAATCCCATTCCCAGCTTATGTTCAGAGCTGTTTTAAGGGTAAGACATTTCTAAGGTTGCCACCAAAGTCAAAAATTGGCTTATATGGTTTTAAGCACTTGGCATCATAAATTAGCAACCAGCAGAGGTTGGAAATATGAATGTATTTACACCAGAACCTTGCTTTATGCAGTTATGATGACCAGAGACTAATATTTTATTTAATCAGCTTCAACTTGTCAGCTTTATATGTTCCCTTAGGCACCAGAGACTGCAATTTTCTTTCTTAAGAATGGCATTATACAGTTACTAAGATAAGGGCAAGCTTTGTCTTTCTCACTGGTTTTAGAGGACAGCAATGCATGTTTCAACAAATGTTTCATTGGTTCCGTATTTTATATTCCCCTTGGGTTCCACATGTTGTTTAATTGCTATATTTAAAATGTCTCTTATTGGTCATATTTTAACATGGATATACATTTTTTATTTACCTTGGCTAAAGGGACAGTCTTCCAAGTGATGAATCACCATAAGAGGCTTCTTTCTGCAAAGAAATATTGACAAAAGAAAAGGGTTATGGTAAAAGCTATATTTTGTAAGCGTTTGGGGCAAACACGCTTGGTGACCAAAGCTTCAAGCCAATGCAATAAAAATAGTCATTGTTCTTATTCCAAGTTTGACAACAACATTTTATTCATTCATTAATTCATCCATACATGTAAGGGTTTGACCTTCTAATTGTGATAAAAACATAAAGGTAAGCCAGAAGGGATGTACTTACGTTTCCCTGGATGCGGCCAATGCTTCTTCATAGGTCTGAACCCACTCAATGCTACTACCCCAGCCTACAAAAAAAAAAAAAAGAGTGCACAAGAACAAAACGTAAGTCCCGTTCATAAGCGCAGCAATCCGTGATGTATCCACTTCTGCAAGGTTTTTTCTTGTGTGAATAAGAACAGACACTCACCTCTGTCGAGAGTTTTGGGTTGAGTGACAGGGGGTTCAGTAGATTCTGCATCAGCCTTAGGTGCCGCGGTGGGGTCAGGTGTTGCCTGTCTTTTTGGCTTTCTATTGGCAGCCTCATTCATCACAGTACACAGGAGGATTAGCAGGCAACAAAAAGACAGGTTGGAATTCATGATGTCCTGTATAAGACAAACAAAAGAAATATTCAGCAATAGAACAATAAAGTCAGATGAACAGTGCACAACCAACTTTTGCTACTGTATGAAATATGTTAAAATTGTAAAATTTTCCATGAATGCTATACAGGGTATACTATGGAAAGTTAAAAAATAGTCAGTGCAATTGGGGAAAATAACTGTAAAAGATATGAATTGAGTCTGCTGCTGGACTGTTGTCTCACTCACCTGTGGCTTGTGGCTGCCTGTGGCAATGTTAGAAGTGTACCAGGATGATTAGTACTGCAGGTTACAGGTGAACATCTATTTATACCCAGTTGATCTTTGGCTGAGCAGTCTGCCAAAGATCAACGTCAGCCTTAAAACCAGGATGTCCTGATCCCTGCAGTCTGACTGACCCAACCCAGAGATCAACGAAAGCTAAGAACTGCCTCCATCACACCTTTCCCTTTCTCCGGGTTGCCATTGTTTGTTTAGTGGAGATATGCTGGGGGACACACCCGTCCCTGGCCCTTTATTCTGGATGTGTCCTATACTTATTGGCTGAGGTGTACAGTGTTTGTGAGATTCAGAACTCAGAAGAATTAAGAAAATATATGACTGTACATTCCATTCACAAGCATGACTGTACTATGTGACTGTGTGCCAATGTAAAACTGCAGGAAATTCTAGACTTTCTCAATCCTTTGCTTTTAAATTATACATGCACACTTTATAAAAAATAATCTTTAAGAATAATAATCTAATAAATTATGTTAAAACACAATGCTGTCTAGACCATAGTATGGCTCTCTAGCTAGCTGTGATAGTGTCATACTGTGTAGTTCCAGCACAGCTAGAGGCACAGAAGGTTCCTCATGCATTTTCTAGGTAGACCTGGCCTGGGGCATCACAAATTACATCTCTACATGAACTTGGTTATGGTGCTTTTTTTTTTTAGCAGTACAAAATATTGTAGAACTATACACTATAGGCTTTTTACAATTCTTTTGTGCACTAGGAAATGATGAGCATAATAGAACGTTGTATCGTTTTCCTGAACATAAATATGCATGGTCCACAATTCTATATTCAGGGAAATATTTGGTTACAAAGATATAGCAAGTCTCAGAGAGGTGGTGAGAAGAGAAATGCTCTCGTCTCAAATGTGCACAAGAATGAATAATCCTAAGGCCCTGTTCACGCCTGTGAATGGAGCTGATCGCATGAGTTTTGCTCATTTCTCCGTGAGACTCATGTGATCTCCTGCGGGCAATGTATAACCCCTTCATGACCGAGGCCTTTTTTCTGTTTTTTGCACCCATGTTATAATGCACATTGTAGGCCTGAAAATTACCTAAATCCCCCCAAACATTATATATTTTCGGAAAGCCAAGACCCTGTAGAATAAAATGGTGGCAGGTACAAATGTTTATGTTGCACAATATTAGCGCAACTTATTATCAAAGCCAAACATTTAGTGAAAAATGCACTTAAGTTACATACAGTGCCCCAAAACACAATAAAATACCTATTTGTTTAATAAAATATGAGGTTACATCGAGTAAATAGATACCCAACATGCCCAGGTTAAAAATTGTGTGCGTCTGTGAAACGGCGACAAAATTCAGTACCCCAGAAAAGTCCATAGACAAAAAATCCCCTACGTATTTAGAGATACGCATAAATATTGGCCCTAGAATTATTGCTCTCACTCTGGTGTGTGCGGCAATACCCAACATCTATATTGTGATTGTTGTTTTCATATGTAGACGCACCAAACACGTGCTTATGTTGGGAGGGGCAGCGGAACCCAGGAAACAACAGGAGTGTTGGGTGGGAGGAGGGGTGGCCCGTTTACCGGTCCGGAGAAGCAATCTGGCAACAGCTGAGCAGCCAGAATCGCTTCTATTGTAAAGCCGCCAGGAGTCTGTTTAAACGGCACTGGTCACTAAGGGGATAATCTAAGGACAACGGCCACCACCCACAGCTGCTCCCAGGCTGTTTGCAAGTAAATGCACAGCCTGCTGTTACCTGCGGATTACTGTACCTGGATGCAGACTGTTTGAGTCCAGGTGCAATTGTCTGCAGGTAATCACAGGCTGTACAGATTGAATGAGTCTCATGGATGAATTTGTCAGACTCATACGATAAGCTCCATTGGCAGGTGTGAATCAGGCCTAAAGCTAAACTCCATGTGCATAGCAAAATACACAGATAGATAAATAAAAGCAAACTGTTCTGCCTGACAAAGGATTTGTAATGTCCATTTTGAGATGTACACCGTTTTGACGCACAGCACAGCCCTGTCTGGCGGGGCTGAAGACTTGACATTTGTCTATAGCAGTTAAATGACACTTGCAGGTCTTGTCCCTCCCTAAGCCTGTGACTGGAGAGTAAAAGGAGAAGCAGCAACTAATGAGCTCATCTGTCTGTCATTCTGCTCTCTCCTCTTATCAACATATTCATTCTTAGTACAGGGACAATGCAGAACAAGTGACTGGCTCTTTGTGCTGCTTCTCCCTCTCCCAGGCTGAGCTCTGGTGTTCAGTAAACCAAGTAAAAATCAGTTGCTTACACACTTACTTGCATGTACTAATGAACAGAGAGCTGCAATAACTTGTGACTTGTCTATCAGCCTGGAGTTTACATATTTCATATTTTCTTTTGTGGCTTCCTGATCCAGTGACACCTGCCCCCTCCATTTCTTCACCTGGTGACACAGGTACAGGAAGTGGGGGGAAATTTTCCCAGCGGGAGTGCAGCAAATAAAATCCTAACTCCAAATATTTTCATATGACAACACACCTTCCTAATGCCAATAGGAATTTTGTACAAAGTATGACCTATCTTTGGAAATTGAGGACTTGTTTTAAAAAAAGACCTGATCCTGCAGTATTAGTATACGTCACCAATATTAGGAGAATCCAGGTGAGTGTTTAGTGTTTGTATACATGACGTGTTTCAGCTTATGATCTAAGCTAATTTGTATCCACAGTATCATTATCTGTAAATGTCCTAAAACTCAGCAATGCTTCATGTAACACAAGTACAGGTGCAATACTAGGCGGAGCGGTCGGCTCCTTTTGGCTGAGCTCTACAGTCATTTTAAGCTCATGGAGCAGGATACAGATAAAGTAAAGTGATAAAGAATATCTCATAGTGAAATAGGAAAGGCTTAATCAGTAGACTATTGGGAGAGTGGAATTACAGTGCAGTTTGTAGAGGCGGGAGGGAAATCATACAGTATCTAAATGTGTAAATCCTAATTGAAGATACACATAACAGAATTCTCCATGAAACATCATAGTTTATGATGAGAGATCTGAATAACAACCTTTTATGATGTTCTAAAGCAATAAAACAAAGGCCTCATTCACACGGCGGGGCATGTTGTGTGATGCGTTCGGGCAGCTCATGGAAGTCCACAGAGACGCAGGAGCTGTGCACCCTCATACGCTGCTACCCACAGCTCAGCGTTTTGACAGCTGTACACAGTGTATGGACCTGAACCCTTCATGTCTGCACCCAAGGCCATACACCGTCTGTGTGTGACTGTCAAAACTCTAAGCTGCGGGAAGCAGCGTGTGAGCGTGTCATGCATGTCCATAGAGTTACATGAGCTAACCTATGTTTATATAGATGCAGGAGCTGTATACCCTCACATGCTGCTTCCCGTAGGTTAGAGTTTTGACAGCCGCACACAGATGGTATATGGCCTTGGATGCAGACATACACTGTCTGTGTGCGGTTGTCAAAACTCGGAGCTGTGGAAGGTAGCATGCAAAGCTCTGTTCACACGTAGACATCAGCGTTTTCGCATACACAAAGACGCATGTTTTATTGAGCAGATTGAAATGCATTGTGGTGAATGAACAAACATGCATAGGAACGTGCAAAAACATCAAGGAACAGCATCCATTGTAGGTGATTTAATCAGCATTTGAAAAGCCTTTTGACTTTTTTACTTTAATATAATTTGAAAGAAAAACTCTGGACAGAAATTTGTATTAATCCTTGCAGTGCGGGGGTAGTTAACTGCTCGTTTTATCCTCACCTGAGTTTCCGAGCTGGTCAGCTCTTAGACCGGTCCCTTTGGTGTTTCTTCCCCTCTGCTGCAGCGGTCCAGGAGTCCTCAAGTCATCGCCGAGGGACATGCCATCCTTGATGCAGAGGAAGAGACAGGCTGGAGGGAGCACTGCCGGCTCAGAGGTTCGGGTGAGTATAACTCTTTTTTTAACCCTTTTTTTGTGGGTGTAGCCCCACTGCAAGGGTTAATAAGTAGGTCTTTTTTGTCAGCAAGAAAAATAAATCCTGGTAACTTCCAATTGTCTCTAGTAAGCCAGGTTCCTAAAATAATAATTATGTGGAAGATTGTCCAATGAGGGATGTGGGGCATGGAATAGTTTCTGGTTAGTTTCCAGAACATTGTTATGGACTGGCAAGATCAAAATGTGTGCAATAAGTGGGTCTCACTATTTGTAATGACATTTTCCATGTATAACGTGGGTTTAATATTATTCTCAGTTTTACAATCATTTACAATCATTCTCTTGTTGGGTTTTACTAGCAAATTGAAAAGGACTAAAAGTTTGTTAACAGTGGTGTAACTAAAGACATGGAAGCCCAGCTACTGCTATGGAGCCCCAGACCCAGACTGGGAAGAGGGTCCCACTAGGGTGGTTTTTTGATGTTTATATTCCAGAAGAACTAATCGTATTGGATCATGCTAGTCCCAGACCACCTTTGCAGTCCCTCTATGTGTGAGTAGATTTACTGCCTCCAGAGCTTCTGGTCATCCTACATACATAAATCAATTGTTTTCAGAACGATTGTTTGATTCACTTACAGGGATCGAATCGATGATTCGAAGGGTCAGGATGGAAACATTTTCTATAAGGGAAATTAAACTATGAAGCTTTGTATGATAATGGTATGATACAGGTGTCCAAAACTTCCCAGAGATTGTATTTGTTGCTCGCTAATTGGTCAATTGCTTTTCTTAGCAGTTTTTCTCTTATTACTAAGCTGGGACTTATCCTGTAATTATACAGTCTCTCCCATTTAGCACTCCCATTTTCTTTGATTTGAGGAAATTAGTGGAAAAGCCTGTCCCAGTATCTACAGATCGTAAGCAGACCATAATCTGCTAATCTAATGAAGTTTTCCTAATTGTATTTATTTATATCAGTTTTTTTCTATAGCGCTGTACATACTAACCATCCAGATCAGTCCCTGCCCTCAATCAGCTT